CCTGGTGAACTTGCAATCCACTAAAGAGTTCAGCTCTCATATGGTAGGCATTTTCTCTGCGGTCTATTTCATTTTTGGTTTGTTGGTTTCTTTGTTTTTCTACATGTAGACTCACTTTTTTGTGTGTGTATAAATACATTTTTTTGTGAAGCTTAATCGAGACACCTGGGCCAATGAAGCTGTCTCTCAAACCATTATTACTAATTTTGTATTCTGGCAGGTCGGTACCATGTTTAAGTGACAATTTATTATGTCTTTATGCTTGCTATTTCTTTCTATTAAATTAAATCAGATTTATTTTTCAGGCTGTACTATTATATTAGTTATACAAGTGCAGGCTGCTGATGGGTTTTATTTGTTGATAAATTCCTTTTACATGTTATCGGCTTATCCTCCCTTAAGTACTTTATTGTTTGGTATTGTGTGAAGCGTGTGATATGCACGTGCACATTTGCTCACTAGATATACATACTTCGAGATAAATGATACGTAATTGTGTTGGTGTTATTACATATGCATTATCATTTTCCCTTGGTAGGAGTGTAATAGCAAGTAAATCTTATCCAAGGCTGCCATAGATGGTTTGATGTTTTGTTAGGAATATAGTATATGTTAATCTATGAACCAAACGTTTGTAAAAGGTTGAGATTTTAAGATTATTAGAATCTCTTTTTGGACTTCAGAATTGTGAAGATTATGTTTAATTGTGTTCATCTTTGTGTGGATTTTGCTCCCTAATTTGTATGACAGCATATGTGGACATGAATCTTTTGGATCACCTTCATGCTTCTGATTTAACCAACTGTTTTCGTTTGTGCTTCATCTGTTTGATGTTGGTCTGCAAATATAGACATATGATGATACAACTGAAGGCAGGAAGGTTTGCACATACTACAAGTTGGAATCTATGCCTGTAGTTCTCATTATTGACCCCATTACTGGGCAAAGAATGCGTTCATGGAATGGAATGGTTCAGCCGGAATGTTTGCTAGAGGTAAATGCCATGGCGTACATTGTATCTTCACAGTTGAGTATAAAGTTTTCTCTTGTTAGAGAGCTTAAGAAACCGTTTCCTACAATGATCAAACTTTTACTTTGAAGTTAAATTTTGGCATGAAAACATCCTTGCCACTGTAGGATCTATTACCCTTCTTGGATAGTGGCCCCAGGGACCATCATGTAACTTTGTCCCATAAACGCCCAAGAGAAAGTTCTCTGCCTCAGCCACAGAAAACTAAAGGTATGCTTGGGCTTCCAAATATCTTCTGCTATATTACATTGCAGTGAACCATTTTGCTTCTCAAATCTGTTGAATTTGTATTATTTTTCAAATTATTGCTCATGTATTATTGCTTGGGTGAACTTCTCTGATTGATCCTAATCCTTGTTCCAACTCAACAAAGTGGGGGTGGGGTAGTAGAAAAAAGGAAAAAGAAATCCTTTGTAAAGTGTAATATGAAGTGAAATGACATTAATATGCTAACTGAATGAATGATTGAAGTAAGTTTTAGAAGAAAAATCTGCAGCTGAAATTATAGTTGTTTTCCCATTTTACATATTGTTTCATTATTTGATGCTCCTTTTGATTTCATAAATGGGGTTGCTGTTTATGTTGTAGTATGAGTGGTTGTTTCAGCTTGATTGTAGTGATATTAGAGAGAAGTTTTGTCTGAATAGTTTTGCACTGACATTGACATACTTGGTTAATGTGCTTGGTTTCTTGTGTTCTCATGAAAATATGCTTGGTTTCTTCTATATAAAATACCTGTGTCAGTATCTGCGATGGTGCTTTGTGTATTCGGTTGTATGTGGTTTACTAAGAGGCTCAGATGGGTGATTGCTTGTACATACGGCCAAATTTGTGAAGCTGTGACATATCCGAATTTGTATCTATCTTTGCTAGCAGCTGAATGATGCATTCTAGATCTGCTCTTGAAAACTTGTTTTGGATGTTCTTTCCTTTCCTTTTTCTTCTCTTGTTATTTTTTTCGTGGATGAGCTGCATGTATGACTTAAGGTGCTTCAGTTGCAGACGAAACTAATGAAGAAGATGAGGAAGTGCAGCGCGCATTGGCAGCTTCAATGGAAGGCATGCAGGAGACAGGTGGGATATCCAAAGATAAAGATGAAATCATTACTGACAAGGAGGAAGAAACATGCTTAGCCAAGACACCTGCGTATCCACCTTTGCCTGAAGAACCCAAGGGTGATAAGAACCTCCTTTGCAGGGTTGGGGTCCGTCTTCCAGACGGGCGCAGGGTGCAGCGGAATTTCCTTCGCACTGATCCAATTCAGGTAAGAAGTGAAAGAAGTTTTTTGTATTAGTATATAATGGAAAAGATTTGAATTGTGATTAGCGTTGAACAATTAATTGCATCTAAACCGAGAGAGTTTGACTATTTGTAAATCATTTTTATCAAAGTTAAATGCTTGCAGAGAGTTCATGCTTATGTTTGACAAAATTTGCATGGTAGACTTATATGGCTTGCACTACGATGGAAATGATGAGCACAGGCTGTTATTAGCAGGATCTATTCTACTCCCCTCCTAGGGTTGTCAATGCATTTGAATTGTTTGTTTTGCAGCTGTTGTGGTCATTCTGCTATTCCCAACTAAAGGAAGCTGAGACGAGGCCGTTTCGGTTGACTCAGGCAATCCCAGGAGCTTCGAAGAGTCTGGATTATGATTGTCAATCTACTTTTGAAGAGTCGGGGCTTGCCAACTCTATGGTCTCAGTTACTTGGGAATGAATGAATGAACGAATTCATGTTGGAGAATTTTTGGTTTGGTCATTTTGTTTATACATGTTTCCAGGACTTAGGAGGTGTCGTTTAATGGATGGGGAATTGGGGATGCAGATTTTGTAGTGTACTATTTATTATGTATATACTCATGCAAAGGGCGCATGAATCTACACTTGTTTATGCTAAATTTGGCGCTCTCTCTCTCTCTCTCTCTCTCTCTCTCTCTCTCTCTCTTTAGAGTTTTGTATGGATGGGCCACGTGGCACGAATTCTCTCTTTAGAAATTTGGGTTTTATCTACCTTTTAACAATTTGATTCACTCTATGATTTGGATCGTATCTCAACATCTTTTTAAGAAAGGACAGAATAGTAGCCCAAGAACTTTAAGCCTCACCACCCCCAGCCCAATGGCTCAACAGTATATAACCCAAGCCTGAGATGGAATTTGATGGGATGGATCCTGGAATCTTGACAAGACATGGGCCTAACTTTCAGACCATTTTAACTTTTTACAGAATTCTCTTCGATTAAATGTGAACGAAAGGGAGGGGTAACTAGAAAAGTTTAACTTGTCGGCAGATACCGACAATTGAAAAACAAAGAGATCAAAAGCTACGACATTTTTGTATTCATGTCAAAGATATTTCCTTTTGGTTACTTAATATATTGTATTAGGGCCACAATATCTTTCTTTTCAAAAGCTAGATTTGGTGAAAACATTCTTTTCATGATTTATGCATCTTCATCTAAATGTTCTGAGTTATCCATTGCTTGAAATTACTTAAATATAGAGTTTATTTTCAATCCATATAAACTGGCGGACCTATGTAGAGACAAGTGTGGGCAGCTGCTCACACTTAAATGTTTTTTTCATCATGTAGGCTACAATAAATAGAACATTTTGGCAATATTTTGCATGTTCAGCCCCCAATTGGCTCACTATTAAGGCCCAAAATATCAAGTCAGTTTAAGAAATGACTTAGTTTGTCTCCCATCCCACGTGTATTTTGTGTGATCTTTTATAAAATAATAATATAGTTATATAAATATATAATATTACTACATAAATAAATATTATAATATTATATACAATATTTATAGAGAGTTTCACTAAAATACCCAAAATGGGGGCTGAAATTATAAAAAAACCCAACACCCAAAACACTTTATAAACATACCCAAAACTCATCATTACACACACTCAAAACCCATTTATAAACATACCCAAAACCCATCAATACACATACCCAAAACCCATTTTGGGTATGTTTCTATGTTTAAATAGTGCTTGGGTATTTTTATAAATACATGTCTAGGATTGGGTATTTTTATAAATATCTAATATTTATACCCACACTTAGTTTGTCTCCTATGCAGACATCCGAAGGTTATTATCATGTGGACGCCATGTATTTTCTACTACTCATTCATGTTTTCCTTCATATTTACAATAACATCCACATGATAATATCGTGCAGACATCCATATGAGAAAATAACTGATATAATAGTTGTTAAACTCAAAACCTCATTTTAAATCTAAAATAAACCAAATATGTTTGATTAATGCTGTCAATAATGTAGGAGTGCTCTCCCTCCTTACATAAAGAAGAAAAATATCACATGCCAAAAAAGTAATCTGATATTCACTAATCTTGATTTTTTATTTATTTATAGGACGAGTCCTTTCCAAGCTGTTTTCCAATATTTGAAACTAATTTTGTTCAATTAATCTTGTAAAGTTATCTTTTCATCATAAGCCCTAATTACTTTTATTATATACATAGGACATTAAAACCAAATCTAAAATCACAAGTTGTACAGCGATTTTAAAAAACCTTCTTTTAGGCTTAGCATATGCATATATATAACTTATAAGCATATACTTGGCATAAATAATGGTTTCAAAATCCAGAGGGAGGTAGGTAGCTAGGGATATCCATGATGAGTAAAGCCGGATAGAAAAATAAGACGTTTGACAGCTCAGTGGGGCTGGGATTGTCGTTATATAATCTTGGCAGAAAGCACAGATCACGCAGTGACAAGTCACTGCTGCACTAGTCCCAATAACGTATTATGCATCGACACAGAGTCACAGAGATGTACGTGTGGCTCCTCTTTTTCTTCTTTCTTTCTTTTTATTAATTACTTTTTTTCAATTCTCGAATCTTCTTCTCCATGGCATACATGAGGAGTGGACACACACAACTCTGCTCTATCTATCTATATAAGGGCTTGCAAGCTTAGTAATCTCTTACATCGATATACAACCTAAGCTAGCCTAGCTACCTCTCCAGATACATATATTTTAGAAAGATATGGAGCGCTCCATGCGTTTATTTTCAACTGCCTTCGTCTTCTTTCTGCTTCTAGCAGCTGCTGGTAATATTTAGGCTTCTTCTCTTGTCTTTCCTCTGGTTAACTTGTAAACTATATATATATATATATATATATATATATATATATATATATATATATATATATATATATATATATATATATATATATATATATATATATATATATATATATATATATATATATATATATATATATATATATATATATATATATATATATATATATATATATATATATATATATATATATATATATATATATATATATATATATATATATATATATATATATATATATATATATATATATATATATATATATATATATATATATATATATATATATATATATATATATATATATATATATATATATATATATATATATATATATATATATATATATATATATATATATATATATATATATATATATATATATATATATATATATATATATATATATATATATATATATATATATATATATATATATATATATATATATATATATATATATATATATATATATATATATATATATATATATATATATATATATATATATATATATATTCAACTGTTGGGATTAATTAATGTATATGTTTGGAATGATTTGGCAGGGATGATGGGGCCAATGGTTGCTGAGGCTAGGACCTGTGAGTCTCAGAGTAATCGGTTCAAGGGAACTTGCGTGAGTACAACCAACTGTGCATCTGTTTGCCAAACTGAGGGCTTCCCTGGTGGCCATTGTCGTGGCTTTCGCCGCAGATGCTTTTGCACTAAACATTGTTAATTAGCGATAATCGTGATACTCCTGCATGCACATTTCTATGTGGGCCTGGGAGGAGACGATTATGAATGATCACTTACATCAGTGGCCGTACGTGCAACTAAAATAAATTAAAATATAATGACTCAATTTAACAGTTGGGTTATTATTATTATATCCTTGTCCTTGTTTGTTAATTAAGTACCACCCTCGTGAGTTGCCTTGCCTTGTTTTATCAACGATGTCTTTGTAATGCGTTTGTAATAATGCAATATTATTGATTTCCTCAACCAAACATGTTGTCATTTTGCAAGGGTTATCATCTTTTCCAATTGATCAAACATGCGGCGGGGGAGCAATTTAAATTCCAATATTTCAAATTTAAGGTGGCCATAAATATATGGAGAGCCAAACTACACCACACAAATATACGAAGTCAAAAGTTTGCTGGCCAAAATAGGAGCTGGAATTTTTCAACTCTTTAATTTGGTAAAGGAGCTAGCTTCCTTTACGTAGATGGATCTTCTCTACGACCCTGTATAAAAAGCGCTTCCATGGCTATAGTTCCTTGCAATAACATTTGATCTCTACTGCATATACACAAGCACACACGTACACACAGATCAAGCGCACACACACACATACACACAGATCAAGATGGATCGCTCCATGCGCCTTGTTTCAGCTGCCTTCGTTCTTGTCCTGCTTTTGGTGGCTACCGGTATATCTTTTTATTCCCTTCTTAATTAATTTGATCAGCACATTAATTATGTATGTAGATGAATTAATCAAATTACGGATGCATGCATGGATGTTGATTTGACAGAGATGGGACCAATGGCTGTGGAGGGAAGGGGCGCTAAGAAGGTTGAGCCAAAGAAGAGGACATGTGATTCTCAGAGCCAAAAATTCAAGGGGATGTGCTTTTTGACAAGTAGCTGTGTGCAATCTTGCAAATCAGAGGGCTTCACCGGAGGCCAATGCCGCGGTTTCCGCCGCAGATGCTTCTGCTCCAAAAATTGTTGATGAATTAGTTTATCATAAAAGTGTATCTGTGTGGGAGAAAAACAATCTGTGGGACCGGAGCGTGCTTGTGTAATGAGATCTATTGATTGACTCAGCTGTGCTGGGTTAATTGCTTTTGCTATCTAATAAACTAAATGACTGCATGGATCATTTCTTTTATTGTTTCTTGTGTTGTCCTCCTTTCTTAATCTCATATAGCTTTTCTTTTTCTTTAAAAAACAAAAAAAAATCTTAATCTCCTCCCTCCTCTTCAGGATTATGAGTCGAGGATTCCGAACTTCTGAATTTATTTTGGGTTAACAATTTTAAAAAAAACCCAAAAGACGTTATAACATTAGGATTAACATGAATTTTGGTTCAATGAAAAAAATGACTTACAATTTGATGATGTGTCATCTGTTAGATGGTTAGATTGTTTGAGTGATTTAGATTTAACGAAATGCGAGTAAATACATGGGAATTAAATGCAGAGGCTCGGGATCCCAATTAGGATATGTGCGCAACAAAAAATGAAAAAGAAAAACCTCACAATTAGTTAACACAATTGAATTTTTTATTTTTTACTGGTAACATGGCCTAAGCCCAAGCACAAAAAAATGAGTGTAAATTTTTTTTTTGTGAAGGCCTAGTGATACCTAGGAAAATGAAATTCTTAGGAAGCCCATTAAGAACACATCCAGCCCTGTTTAGCTCGCAGTCCAGAAGCATCATGGTTGATAACGGCTTTTTCTTTAATTAAAATCTCATTGTAATATAATTTTGGAAATAATACCTATTTAGTCGGGTATAATTTAAAATTCAAATCTGTTACATTGAATTTCATATTTTTTCCATTCTATATTTAAAGATTTTCTTATTGAATATACTAAATAAGAAATCTCATTTATTAATCTAACCAAATAATTTCTTCGTTGATTATACCAAATAAGGAATCACATTTATTAATTCGACAAATTTACAAACTAAACCCAACCAAATCAAACCATACATGCATCAAGAAGATATCCCAATAATTTAAAATTTAATTCAATAGACCTACTTCTCTGCTCTTCTTGGTTCATAGAAAAGGAGGCTTAGAGATGAGAAATCAATTGTTTTCCTATGTTTAGTAAGTCCAAGCATAGGAAATGGTTGCCTAACACATGAGAAAATAGGAGGGAAAGTAAAGCCTTCCTTTCAACTTGGGTTTTGTTTTCCCTCCATGGGAAAATTTGGGAAAATGAGCCAATATTAAATGCACATTTTTCATGACTATTTTGTACGTAGAATTACAATATATCTGTTTGCGCTAAAACTAGATGGATAGTAACTAGGCCAACTTAAAGATGAGGTGGATGCTGAAGGTAAGAACCCTCAGTGTGTGAGAGCATTCGGTAAGTAAATAGGCATGCATACAGAAGACAAATGTACATGGTTCACCCGAATAATGGGCTACGTCCACGGAGAAGTATGTTCTCATTACGATAATGTGAGTATACATTGCACATAGGTTTAAACTCAAGGAGAAGAGGAAGAGTACCGAAGGCCGAAGACTAAAGGTCGGAGGCTGAAGATCTGGCTGAAGGCCAATGTTCTGTGGGCTTGTAAATGGGCTCATGGGTAAGCCCACGAGGCCCAAGTAGCATGCCCAACCCCCCTCTTTCTTGAAGGGGAGAGGTCTCCTTTTATAAAGAAGGGAGAGTCCTCTCCTCTTGTGTTTTGTCGATGTGGGACTCCCTTCCCTTTGGCTTGGGAGTGTCTGGGGTGTGCTTGGCCAGATATTGTACAAACAAGAGTCCCCCAAGTTCCCGATTAAGGAGGTACTTCTTGATTGGGGACTTGTAGTCATTTAATGCACTGGCCAAGTAATGCTTCAGCTCATTCTTCAACAGGATGATGGCTGATGGCTGATGGCCGAAGGCTGATGGCGCCATAAGGGAGAAGTGTCTCCTGGAAGGTGCCGTTCGGCATGGCTTTGAGAAAAGGCCGAAGGCTGATGGCCGATTCCGATGGCCGAAGGCTGGTGCCCGAAGGCTGATGGCCGATGCCGATAGCCGAAGGCCGAAGGCTGATGGCGCCATAACCCTGGGACACGTGGCATGCTCTCAAGCGACGTCCACAGTCCCACATCGAAATTATCAACAAACTGCACACTTCCCAAGGCCTATAAAAGAGGCCAACTATCCCAAAATAGATGTAATCAGAACTAACGGCATATAAGCCTATTGATCTGTCAGTTGAATTTTCTATTCTCGAACTTACTTAAGCATCGGAGAGTCTTCGGCTTGTACCACACCGGTGCCTTGGGTCTTACCGAGCGTTCTCTCATTTTTGCAGATCACGCTCCCTACCGAGGCCTTAAGGATTCCAAAGGCATAAATTACTAAGTTGACCCTCAAAATCAGAGAACCACTTTTTGACGTCAACATGTGTGACTTACAAATCGCTTGTCTGTTAGTTATTTTTTTTACATTATGAAAGAGAATTAATACCATGAGGAAGGTGCCGTTCGGCATGGCTTTGAGAAAAGGCCGAAGGCTGATGGCGCCATAAGGGAGAAGTGTCTCCTGGAAGGTGCCGTTCGGCATGGCTTTGAGGAAAGGGCGCTGGAGTAGTGTCTCCTGAAATATGTCGTTCGGCATGGCTGATAGCTGATGGCCGATGCCGAAGGCTGATGGCGCCGAAGGCACCACCACCTAAAATTTTTAAATTGACAGAGCATATGTTTAATAATATACGTAACGATAACGAAGACTTTATAATGATGACAGCCGAATCAGAATCGGTCATCCAGAAATGATATAATTTCGGTCATTCACACCACGACGAATGTTGTGGAATATATCAAAAGTCAGAAAAGCGACATATATTATAACGTTAACAAGCAGCCTGTGGTGGGTGGGTCACATCACACATACACCCGGTCATGGTTAAGAATATATCCAGAAGCCCATCAGTTCAGAAGGAGGAGGGCATGCAGATAAACTAAGTCCTAATAATTTATCTTAAAGTGAACTTATTATGATAAGTTTTTAATTGAAGGCTCACAGTTAGCTAGACTTGGTTGGTTCCCAGTGAAAGTGATGATTATAAATTAAGTACAAAAGTTATGGACACGTTTACAATTTTCTAAACATTAAGCAAGAAATGTTTGTTCATTTTTTTCCCCTTAATTACATACAGTTTAGGGTAAGAAGACGCGTTAGCCACTCTTCTGTCCACTCTTAAACAGAAGATTACTCATATGTATCTTGCCCTTAATTAAGTTTGTCTTTTCTTAATTAAGTTTTCCACGTTGGATTTTTTTTTTGGATTGGAACAACGAAACGTGGGCTGCTATGAAAGAGAATGAGCGAATCGCGAAAACTACAAAATGCACCTACTTTTTACACACACACACATATATATATATATAATACCCAATTGCATGCATCGCACAAACAAGTAAAAGATGATAACAAGTTGTAAATAATATATTTAAACGACTACTTTTCATGCTTGACCAGCTATACGTATATTTTTCCAATTGAGAAATTTCAAAGTACAATACATTTTTTTTTAAAGTTTAAAAACGAAGACTTTTTACGGCAACCAAATCAGAATGAGTCATGGGCTTGCACATTAATTGAACAGCGACTTGGACAAACCAGCTTGGCTGGCTACTCATAAACTGCCTTATGCTATATATAGATGAGAGCTACAAGCTTACTTCATCAACATCTTCAATATTCATTCTCATTATTTCTTCAGTTTCCATTTCCACTCAACCTAAACCCTTAATTGCCTTGCGAAGTTGAGAGAGAGAGAGAGAGAGAGTTTTGATTTGAGTTTTAACATGACCAAGTCTTTCTCTTTCACGTCCCATGCAAATGTTGCATTCGCGATGTTGTTGCTTTTCTTTATCATGAGCACAGCAAGCCAAGCGCAACTATCTTCAACATTCTATGACCAAACCTGCCCAAACGCTCTTGCTACTATCAAATCATCCATAAGCAGAGCAGTTTCTCGTGAAAGCCGGATGGCGGCGTCCCTAATGCGCCTCCATTTCCATGATTGCTTTGTTCAGGTACGTACTAATTACCCCTTCATTAATTAAGCCAGCCACTAATTGATCATAAATTAATTACTCAATATGTGCATTTCCTTATAGCGCAGTCTTTGACTCTTGGTTTTTGTTTTTGATGATCGATTGCAGGGTTGTGACGCATCACTCTTACTTAATGATTCTGCTTCTATCGTAAGCGAAAAGAACGCATTTCAAAACAGGGGTTCTGCTAGAGGCTTCGAAGTCATAGATGATGCAAAAGCTCAAGTGGAGAAGATTTGCCCTGGTGTTGTATCTTGCGCAGATATCCTTGCTGTGGCAGCTCGGGATGCATCAGTTGCTGTGAGTACATAAATAAATAATTCAATTTGATTCTTTTATTATCTTTATTAATTGGAATTATGTTAATGTAAATCCCGTGGCTTTAATCTTGTACAACTACTAATAATTGCAATAAACTAAATATATATATATACATATGATATAGGTGAGTGGTCCATCTTGGACTGTGAAGCTTGGAAGAAGAGATGCGACCAGAGCAAGCCAAGCTCAAGCTGAAAGTGACCTTCCACTTTTCACAGACTCCCTTGACCGCCTTATTTCCAGATTTGGTGACAGAGGCCTCAGTCCCAGAGATCTGGTTGCATTGTCGGGTAACTATTTAAATGAATCATATATGCCTGCCTTGCTTAGAAAATGCTATATTAATTAACACTTTATGCTAATGAACTTATATATGTATGAATGCAGGTGCACATACAATAGGGCAGGCTCAGTGCTCATCATTTCGTGACAGGATTTACAACAATGGAAGTGACATTGATTCTAACTTTGCAACTACTCGCAGACGCCGCTGTCCAGCTGCTGCACCCAACGGTAATACAAATTTGGCACCACTTGATTTGGTGACACCAAATTCATTCGACTACAATTACTTCAAGAATTTAGTCCAGAAGAAGGGTCTTCTTGAATCAGATCAAGTTCTCTTTAGTGGAGGATCCACAGACAGCATTGTCTCTGAGTATAGTTCGAAACCCGCAACTTTTAGGTCTGATTTTGGAATCGCCATGATTAAGATGGGAGACGTTTCTCCTCTCACTGGTTCAGCTGGAGAGATCAGAAGGATTTGCACTGCTCTCAACTAAAACTTTCTTGAGCCCCAAGAATCAAGATGAAATGTACAACCTAATTTGAATAGCGAATGTCTTCCTTTTGTGTTTGTTTTTTATTTTTTTGCGAATGTCTTGTTGTATTTGATTCATTCATATGTATGTAACCTCAATTATACAGTGTTGTTATTGTTGTAAGAATAAATTACACCTCAATGAATACTTTGAGGAAGATAATGGAAATTACTCGAATTGTTATATTTTGTCAACGATATTAGCTTTTTATTTGTCAATAAAATCTTTTTTGGGAACGAATTATGAACCCCCGACCGCTACCTACGTTTGAAGACCAAGTCCTCCTGTACATATATCATCAAAATGATTCACAAGCAGGATAGTTGAAATAATATTGGAACAAAACAAAACAACGCTAATTAAACACTAAAAAATAATGAAATGATGTCTAAATTTAAGTGTAAATATAACTCATGATTTACAGTTATTTAATGTGTAAATTCCACATTGAAATAAAATAATTTTCTAGGATTTTACTCATTTTTAAATAATCGGAACTATTTTAAATATACTTTTGGAGCTTAAAGCTTCTCTTTTCCCTGGCGTAATTCCTAGGCCTCTTTCCATCTACAAATCTATCTTCTTCTACACCAAAGAACAGAAGCCACCTCTACAACAGAGCCAACAAAGGGAAAGATCCCCTTCCAACGGACATCAAGGTAGAAAAATCCCCTTCAACCACCCGGTAGCATTTAGCATTTATATAAAGACCTGTCGAAACTCTTTTGAACAATGAGCAACTCAAAACTGCGAATATTTTGATGTTTTGATTGCTGCTTAGTTTATTAATATATATATGGTCAATATTTTAACATGACAAGCAACATATTAAACATGTGATTAGTCTATTTTTTGTAACTTAAACTTGCTAAACAAAGCATGATGCCACTATTTAGATCTCTATGTCTATATAAATAGTACCATCTTCCCAACATATTTTCACGACTTTGTACACATTTCATACGGTTTTAAAACCCATAACATTGCGGTGGCACCATTGCTAGTTTAGTATTGGATTCATTGGATGACTCAACTATCTTAAGGGTAAAATTTTAGGTTGCATGGGAAAGAGTAGCTAGAGAGCTGGAGCACTTTTCAACCCAAACAAACCACCCAACTTCGTGCTAATGCCTGCACAGAGAAAAAGCTAAAATCAGTAGAAAGTACGAACTGCTACTACCCGGTATACACTTCCTAAAAACATAAAGATTAGATATTTGAAAGCACACTATAAACTCCTTATAAGGGGCATTTATGTTTAACACAACTATAAAAACGATAGATTATGAGGGAAAAACTCAGAAGCATTTATCATTTATAATTATAAGAAAAAGGCATCAACGTAAATTAATTGTAAGAAAGAGCTATTACCTTTCTTTCAACCGCATCATGCGATCATCACTTGAAAGGTTCCTCTCTCCTAATAAACTCTGGAGACAACTCTTCATTTTCAGAGTTCGCATCAATGACAATCGAATCATCAACATAAGGAGTCACCCTTGCTCCAAAGCCAGTCTTAACCAATGCTCTTAACCCAGATTGGAAATCAGAGATGTAGAAATCTACCACACGCCTCTGTCAAACAACATAAATAGAAAATTATGGTCAAAAGTGTGAAATCTAACGCCCAAGAATTTCAAGCCTGGTAGCCATAAAAGTCGTCCCTTGGCATCACCATGCAATGGCTGCTTGCAGCAACAGAACATTCAAAGCAGGAAGGCAAATAAACCAGAAACAAATATATTACCAAAATTCAAATAGCAACACTTAGTGGATTGGCAATTGCACTGTACATCAGCTCTACAAACACATTAAAAACTGTCCAGGCACTAGAATTAAAATTAGCCAACGGCAAAATCTAAATATTTTGAAAGTTAATGAGAAATAAAATTCAGTTCGTTAATTATGAAAACCTCAACCTCTGACCCAATAAAAAAGGGAAAGAAAAGCAGAAAGAGAAATACTATATGTTATCCATCAAACATTAAGCTGACTCAGTTACTCACTTCTATGGACCTGAGCCCCCAAGTGAAGCGATGATGTGTAGTGTGTAGGGTTGGCAGCTTTTGAATCCCATCCTCGATACTCGTACAAACTTGTAGATGTATACACACATCTAGGAACCTTTTGAAAGGACAACTCGAGGGGCAGATTGCCACAAGTGACCACCTTAAAAAACAGAACCAGAAATAACTTGTGAAAACTATTGATTAACATTTACAAAAGAATAGCTAAGCAACGTTATAGAGATATAGTATTTCCAGCAATTAAATTCCTCCATGTATCTTCATCCCACCATCCTTCATAGATCTCAATAATAATTATAAGCCATACCATCAACAGATTAACTTACCCCTGGGACCTTCACAAATTGCCCATTCTTTGCAGTCCTCAGCTCAGAATCTGAATAACTAGCAATATAACCTATAATAGCTCATCTTCCCCAATAAGTATTCCATGTGAATAGTGTAGCAACTGCACCAAAAAGGATCACAACCACAGTGAGGAGATATGCATTGTGGACTGCACCTAGAATAAAACCACCAGCTATGAACCCCATCACAAAAAGTAGAAAGACCCTAATATTGTCTGCCGTGCAAATCTCACGGCCTGGAGTTCCGAGCCGAGGGGATATGCGTTAACACGCGGTTTCCTGCTTTTGGGTGCGGTGCGGTTGTGCGCGGGCGTGCCAGCACGGTCTACCGTGTGTCGATGTGTTGATGAGTGTTGGATGGATAAGTGGTGCGCCT